TATCTGCAGGATCTATACCTATCCTCTATTTGACTTATCTGCAGTTAGCAAAGAAAAAAGACTTTAAAAAATTAATTTTCCATAGGATAGTTTGATATACCTTATACAGTTTTTAAACAATTCGCTCATAATCGCTATCGCACATTTATTTATTTTCTGTTGTCTGAATTGTGTTTATTTTTACTTATTTCTTTTTAAATTTTTAACTACGTGTTTGTAGTTATCAGTTTAAAGGTGTAATTATATAACTTAAAATGAAATGTTTGTAGTAACTCTTTTATTCGAACATACACAGATCCGTTTTCAGAATTTTTTAGGTTCAGCCAGCTGATAGGCGATAGGCTTCCCGAATCATGTCATCAAGAACAACCACATGTTGCTCGGCGATACATTGAAAGTTTCACATGTTTATAGTCAGATACAACACAAACTTGTTTGCATAATAAAAAAGCGTTGCAATAGCTTAATCAAAATAAGATAAATAAAGGATAATAATTGTGAGTCTCAGCTACGAAGCTTATTTCTTCAGCTTGTCTTGAGTTTTTACGTTTATTATAAGTGTGACATTTTCGGAAATATTTTAAATACTGATAGCTCACTATTTTCATAAGATATTGTGAATGATATTATAATTACATTCATTGTTTCACGAAATTTTTTATTGTTTCAAATATTTATAATTATTAATCGTTAGAAAGGTATGTCAAATATCATCTTATAAATGCATAAAAATTAGAACCAAGAAGCGTTAAAATATTTCAAAATAAGTTTAGTATTGTTTTATGTTTTAAACGTAACTATTTTTTATTTCAAATTTTATTTGCAGAAAGCAATAAGAACGAATTAAACGAAACGAGAATCATTTTGATAGCACAGCTTCTGACTTCTGTTCTACAAAACAACTTTATAAGGCAGACAGGGTGTTTAGATTAAGTAGTGATTTTAGATTTTGGCTGAGATAATCTGACCAACCATAACAGGAGCGCCGAGAAATAATTCTTTTAAAGTTTTATTCCCTTAAATTTAAAGATCGAATTAAAAAAAAAAATAAGTGCACAATTTGTGGAATTAAATCTAATTAAAAAAAATAATATATTTTTCACCAAAAATATTTTTTTTAAACAAAGAAATCAAAAACAATATTTATGAATAATATTGAACGAGTTAATCTTAACTCATCCTCACCACAGTCATCATCATCAAATTCATCATCATTAGATTCATCATCTTCATCAAGTTCATCATTATCAGCAGCATCACCTTCATTTACATCACCTCTGCCAATTCCTTCTCCGACTACACCACTGACACTCTTTCCTAGCGCCACTAAATCATCGCATACATCATTTCCGATACTTGATTTGTCAATAGCAGGCAAAATTCCAATAACTCAACAACTTCAACATAAAGATACTCAGACCGAACTTACCTTAGCAAATTCCCTACTACTTTCCTTCACAGCCGCCGCCACCGCATCAGCAGTAAAACAACAATCTATTGTACGCTCTGTGACAGCGACCAGCATTATGGACATGCCCTTCAATACCTCACCTTCCCTACGCGTCCGCACTACATCGCTCAACCAATTGAAGAAAACTGCTGATTTAGTTATTGAAAATGAATTACACGTCTGTCCAAGTGTTATGTCTGATGAACTACGAAAATTGTTGCCCCCTACCTCTGAAACTGTCATGACTAAACCTTTTCCGATACGCGGAGAGCGTGCCATTAACGACGTAACTACGCCTCACGTAATCGCAATGGTTGGTCTACCTGCACGTGGAAAAACTTTCATTTCAAAGAAACTGGCTCGCTATCTAAATTGGATTGGCATATCCACTCGTGTGTTTAATTTGGGTGAATACCGTCGCTGTGCTACAACGGCATATAAATCGCATGAATTTTTCAGAGCTGATAATGAAGAAGCAATGGCAATTCGAAATAGATGCGCGAATCAGGCCTTACATGATTCTTGTGAATGGCTGTTGAGCGGCCTTGGAAGTATCGCAGTATTTGATGCAACTAACTCAACACGAGATAGACGACAGCTAATATATGATATTGTTGTGAAACAGCACAATTTTCGATTGTTTTTTGTGGAATCTATTTGCGATGATCCTCAAATTATTGAACAAAATATTAAGGAAGTCAAAGTAAGCTCACCAGATTATATAAATATGAACACTGATTTGGTTGTGCGCGATTTTTTGCAACGAATTGAGCATTACGAAGAACGATACCAGCCAATTGATGAGATTGGAGAATCGCATTTTAGTTTTATGAAGGTTTATAACGCGGGTAAAAAAGTTGTCGTATACAACAATGAGGGTCATGTTGAGTCACGAATTGTTTATTATTTGATGAATACTCACATCACTCCACGCACAATTTACTTAACTCGGCATGGTGAAAGTGACCATAATCTTAAGGGGCTTATTGGTGGAGACTCCAATCTTAGTGAACGTGGACGATTATATGGTCAAGCCCTATCATCATATATTGAAAAGCAGCAAATCGACGGGCTCCGCGTATGGACTTCGTGGATGAAACGAGCTATACAAACTGTTGCTGGGATTAAAGCTCCTCAAGAACGTTGGAAGGCATTGAATGAAATAGATGCAGGACATTGTGAAGAAATGACATATGAGCAAATAAAAGAGAAATATCCTGAAGAATTTAAAGCGCGTGATTTAAATAAATTTGCCTATCGCTATCCACGAGGGGAAAGCTATGAAGATTTAGTTGCACGCCTTGAACCAGTTATAATGGAACTTGAACGTCAAGGCAATGTACTTGTTGTTTCACATCAAGCTGTACTGCGCTGCTTATTCGCTTACTTTTTGGATAAGTCGGCGGACGAGTTGCCATACTTATATGTACCATTGCATACAGTTATCAAGTTGACCCCAGTTGCTTACGGCTGTAAAGTGGAACACATTAAATTACCTATAGATGCAGTTGATACACATCGTCCAAAGCCAAAAATACCGGGTGATGTTTCTTTGGGCTTAGATGGATTGAGTGGTGAATTAGTAGCTGCCGATGGGGTGGGTAAAGTGTTAATTGTAGGCGACGATGTAGCTAAGGCAAATGGAAGCTCTATTCGCAATAATTCTTCTTCAGTTACCGAATGTGTGTTGGGTTCTAATATAAGCGATGATGCTGATAACTGTAATAACATCAATACTTGTGTATGACAGCAAAACGTCGTTTTATTAAAGCGTGAATTGCTGAGTAAGACCAATTACAAATTCAATACATTGTAATCATTTGCAATACGCATAGCACTGTTGGTTAATAAACCTTCTGAACTAGAAAAAAATATATATAATTCATTTAAAAAATAAATCTTTTTGATATAATATATGGTGATGCATTATTCGATTTGTAATAAATTACTTTATTATATATGTATGTTACAAATTTGAATTACTATTTTTTTATGATATCTATTTACATATATGTAGTTAACATGCATTTTTTTATCCACATAATTCCTTGAATTCATCAAATATTGATTTCGTTGAAATTTAAATTAATGTTAAATAATAAATTAAACAAATAAAAACTCATTTGCACTATTTTTTAAATATTTATTAATTGTAACTTTGGATTTTTTTTAAAGATGTAGAAGAAAGTTTTTTTACAAGAGGATGGATATTTTTAAAAAATAAATAATTAAAATGTATTATATTCTATGTATGTAAATTGTAATTAATGTACTCAAATAAATTTACGAATATTTAATAAAATAAATGTAAAATAACATTCGGAAACTTCTGTATTTTAATTGTGTTTCACTACAGTAAGTAACTTAAACCCATGGATCCTTTTGATATTATAAAAAACGCAATTTGTACCAACCCATATACCTGTACTTTATTTAATTTCGTTACATGGATAAGTTATACGATTATTTGTTTATACGTATATATAATATTTAATCAATTGTGTGGTTATTCTAAGAAATGATTATAGTAGCTGATGTAGCACACGATGCTGTTAAAGTTCAGTTTCTTGTATTTTTAGTGGCATGCTTTTAAGATTTTCCTATGATAAGTTGATACTTAGTTAGTTTTGAACATTTTCGGACCGTGAAATTATTGAATTCTACATTAAAAGTCGAGACAATGCTTCATTAACTTTTTAGAGAAATTAAGTTATTAGTGATATGCATTTTATAATACCGTCAGTATAGATGTAAATCTTTGAAATGGTAATGATTTACAAAAGTACTCATAATTATCTATAAATCGATAATATTTAAATTTATGTCTTTTTAGATGTTTTAGACGTTTGTGATTAATTGGTGTATACAAACCCAACTTATGAATTGATAGTTAGGTACCACAATTACAACATGGTTCCAATAAAGCATTAAAGCACTGTTATAAAAACCACAAATAAATATTTGAAAGAATAACTTGAAAAACGTCACTTTTATACGCATATGTTATAACGTCCTAAGCCACTAAGATGAAATAATAAATTTGACTTAATGTCTTGAGAGACAAGATTTATTGATATCTTCTGTTTGATACATTAAGGATTTTACTATTCAATGTGTCTTTCGGATTTTTTTTTTTCAGTACATTGTTTATATTATAATAATTGAACGCATCAACTTTTGGTTCTTCAAAAGTCATTTATAGTAACCTTCACTTCGCAATACTATTTATATAATTTACACCGGAATTTCTTATAAATAGGTAGTGTGGCTTTATATGAAGAAATGAAGAAATGCATTTTTTGCTTTGAGATGTATCCTGTTTATGTGCTTTATATTTTATATTACATTTAATAATATATTTTATATATATATATATATATCATATATTTCATATCATAATATATATCATATATTTCATATATATATATATATATATATACATATATATATATTTCATATTTACAGTGTTGTGCATAACAAAAGCAACCAAAATGAGCACATCAAATAAATAAGTTTTTTGTCTACTTTTTACTTGTCATTCAATTACAGAAATAATGAGGTATTGCGAAATGCGGCTGTGCAGAACAATAGCAACTTTATTTATTATATTAAATTTTTGTATCATTTTTTTAAATTTTGTTTAAAGCTCTTTGCTTTTTATTACTTCGGCACATCTACGGGTCATAGGTGATATTAAATTGTTAATAAAATTATTTGGAATTTTATACCATTCATCTTTCATGACCTCAAACATTTGGTAAATTTTCGATCCCCAAAGCGACGTTTGAGAATACCAAAATGTTCTCAATTGAATTAATATCAGGTGTTTGGGCTGGCTAATCTAAAATTGGAATTCCATTTTTCAAAATCCATTCTCTTATCAGCTTTAAGGTGTGTTTTGGGTCGTTATCGTACTGATATACCCGTCGGAGTGAAATTTCTCATCCGCCATGGAGGACTGGCTTTCTTAAATTTTTCTGTATACATGTTGGTCCATTATTTGATTAATTTCAGGTTCAAAGGTTCAAGTCTAAATCCTGAGAAGCACGCCCCAAAACATTACTGACCCATCGCCATGCTTCACCGTCGCATGCCACTTACGCGGATACAAACGTTTTTCTTTTTCGCGTCGTACTGTCACATCCTATCATAATTAGATATATTTAATTTCGATTTATTGCTGAGAAAAACTGTTTTCCATTTAGCAAGTGTTCAATTTAAGTGATATCGTTCAAAATTAATATTAATATTAATTCATATTAATATTAATTAGAACAAAATAAAAAATCTAGTTCTTTGCAAATGTTTTTTAGTTAACATTGGTTTTTTGACTGGTCTGTAACTTTTGAAACCTGCTTCGAGAGTACGCCTGCGTACAATACTAGAGTCCACATATAGTTTAACCTCATCTATGATATTTTTCGACGAAATAAATGGTTTTTTTTTTTTTGTAATTCTTATGATGTTTCGATCACTTCTATGAGTAGTCTTACGAGGGGCTTCACCCAAATAAACCGTTTTAACGGAATTTTGTCAAATTATATTTTTTTATAAGCTGCGAAACAATAAATTTATTAATTTTAAATATTTTGGCTATTTCATTTAAGTATTGCCTTTTAAATGTTTTTCAATTCTTGCTTCTTAAAACTTTAAAGTATACGTGTCACGAGTCATGATAAAAACTTGCATCCATAACCTGATTTAATATTGAACTCTTCTGTGTTTATGTTCTAATTTGCTTAAAAACATAAATCACAGTATAAAATTGCAAAAAGTCAAAACATTATCTTGTTAGAATGTACTTTGGTCACAGATCTATCATTGATTTTGTCTCAGTTGCTATTGTTTTGCACAGCCGCATTTCGTGATATTTCGTTATTTTTGTGAATTATTTAATCCGTTATGAAGAATTGTAGATTTTGTTGTTTTTTTATAATAACTAATACAATAACAAATAAAACTCTGTGTTTAAGTTTTTGAATGAAAAGTAAAAAGTAGACAAAAAACTTATTTATTTGATGGGCAAATTTTGGTTGCTTTTATTATGCACAACACTGTATATATATATGTATATATATTTTATATATATATATATATATGTATATATATTATATATATATATATGTTATATATATATATATGTATATTTTGTATGTACATATATGTATATTTTATATATACATATATATATTTTATATATTTGTTATTCATTTATACAATCCGATCACTTATATTATTTAGTTTATATAATATGTAACATCATAATTTATAGTATCAAATAATTCAACATGGCCTCAGCCTTTACTTTTATTCATTTATTATTTTGTTCAACATTTTAGCAATGCTATTACAAATTCAATCAAAACATTTAAACTTCTATTTAGTGGCCGGAAAGTAAGTAACATCCCTGCGCTCCTCCCGGTAGTAGACTGTGCACCGTGACTCTGGTAGTACCTTGAAACGTCTTGTAGTTCGAGTTGGAGTTCATATTTTTTTTTCCCAAAAAAGTGCCTTACTGCTTATAGCAATTTTTGAACGTAAGAGGTTTCAGGTGCTTGGTAAAGGACATATAAGAAATTAATATTAATATTTAATAGTCTTTACCTACATCTGTAATGTTCCAGCTTTCATTGCTTGCAATATTTTTAATATTTAATGTTGATCATATCTTGAAGTACTTGCAAGAATGACAATATCATCTTCATATAAGTGAAAATGAACTTTTTTTTTGTATCATCAATAAAAATATGAAGACTCGGAATGGCCAGACTTGCCATTCCATGCAGTCGTTTCGTTGTTATTATATAGAATGTTCAATACAGTGAGCATTGTAAAGGAGACTAACATATTGCTGTTTTATTAATCGAGGTTTGAAATGAAATGTTATATTAAGATTTTTACATAATTTGTAATATACTTGATAAAAATCGTTCATATGTCAAAGTTTTATATTTAAATAAATAGTTGCAATATTTATTTATCCACAAAAATTTTCTTAAATTTCGCATAACTTTTTTAATTTTTACTTAAATTGATTTTTGTTTTTTGATTTATTTTAACCAAAGAAACAACAATGAAATTCAAACATAAAAAAGTAACAATTATCCCTAAAAAAAAAATTAAACACAGTTGTATGCAAAAGCAACAGTTTTTGAAGAAGAAAAGGTCTGCGTTCACTTCTTAATATATAAATTAAAGCAATTAAAATTCACAGAAATATTAAATTTAATAGCCTGTGAGATAATCTCTGCGTTTAATAATCTTTTTTTAGACGTTCTTGCATGCGCTTAATCAACTTTGCAGTATCCTGTGCGTTTATTTTTTGCTATCCTTCCTTGATGACGTTTCTTAACGTATCCTTGCTGGAAATCGTGTGCTGGCGAATACTTTTTTCTAAATAATCCCATTGATGTTCTATGGGATTAAGATCTGGTGATTGTGGTGGTGTTCGAAATTGCCTGAGAGCATGGTACAGCAGCCAGTCCCGTACGATACCTGCTGTATGCTTAGAGTCGTTGTGCGACAGTTTTTCTCATCAAAATTTAGCAATTTTGGAATAAATTTCGTTAACACGGTTTGTATCCAAAATATCTGAAAAAATTTCATGCCATAAGACCACCGATATGACAAAATCTTGAACGCATACTCTGATTATGACTCGCCAATTTTCCACAACAGTTTTCTTTGCTGTTTTCCTCCGCAATTGACGTGCCGAGGTCTCCAGGGCAGACATAGTCATTCACATTTTGCAACAATTTGCATCACTTATAAACATTTTTTCTTGCTCAGAGTCCACCTGCCAAATGTCACAGTTAACATTTCAAGCAAGTTAGAGTATTTAATGTTATTTTTCTGATTCTTTGTTAAATTTTTTAATTGCAAAAAGTGGCAAGCACACCAAACACGTAACAACACTATTGAACATCTAGCAGCTAAAAACTTCATATCTGAAATGTCTGACAATGTAAATATATACATACATGAACCACCATAAAAAAATACATGGTCGAATTTACTAACTAAAAGGTCTTCTTATTTTTTAAATAAACTCCGCACGTATAAGGTGGTAAACGCGTAATTTTCTTTAGTGATGCTAGTGTCCATCTTTGACAATACAAAACTGAGTCAACCAATTATCAAACTGTACAATGCATTTTTGAAAACATTTTAAAATTTTTTTATTTAAATAAACACTAACAACTGCACAATATTTTTTATACATTTATTTTGCTCATGCACAATTTTTTGTATATGTTTATTTTGCTCATTAAAATAAAAGTTTCTTATTATTCACTTATAAAATAATTTATATTTATTTCTAATAATTTGTGCATCAAACAAATAATGCGATTCTTACATTTAAATCAACATATGACACTCAATTCTTTTTTTTGTTTTGCTCATTTTCGCACTTTTCGCCAAAAAAAAGTGCCATGGTTGCCAAAATTTAACAAAACAAATTTGAAACTGTTGTTGTTTCCAAAACTGCTGTCTCCCAAGCAGTTCAGAATGAGGGAGTTGTATGTTTGGAAACAGCGTGGGAATAGGGAGACTTATTCCCTGGGAGTATTCAGAATTGCTATGAAGTTATCTCCCACACAATTTGTTCGGGAAAAATAGGGAAAAAACCCCTATTCTCATTTGATTCAGAATAGGGGAAAGGTAATAGGAAACACAAGTCCCATTCCAATATAATTTCGAATAGGGGAACTGGGAAAAGAGAAAAAACTTCCATTCTCATGCGATTCAGAATAGGGGTAAAAACATTTTTAATTATTTCACTTTAAAAATATTTTCGTGCAATATAATATATTTTTTATAGAAATTCTTATATAGGTATATATTTTATATAATATAGAAATTCACTGCACTTGCGGACAAACAACTACCGGTTGGAACTTTTGATGAATAAAATAGAATAAAATAAAAATGTTTCGCATACATAAATGGTAGTTTTTTTATTTTTAATTTAAACATATGTAATGTGACTAACAATATTTATTTTCAATTTTAACCAAATTAATGTCGGAATTATTTTACGTGTACATTTCAAAGATATTCTGTTTACTTGTTTAAATGTAAACAAAATCAGCTGCGTACGTACCTTCTAACAACGCCTTAAAGTAGGGCAAAATTTTCATTTCGTTTCTGCTCATGTTATTACGTTACCTACCGACTAACTCAGTCTTAACTCTAGAAATTTTAAAAGCATTGTTGTTGCTTTACATGTTTTTTCGTAAATTGCGAGTCTTGTTCTTCTAAGCTGAAAGAAAAATTACATTACAACAGTTTGTTAAAAAAAATGAGGAAACTTATGTTGAGTTGTAAATTTGATCATCTTATTCTAAGGTATTCATTACCACTTCGGTTAATAATTTTTCGCAAAAAGGATTTTTGAATCCTTTGAAAAGAGCCACAACTCAGAGAGAGCTAAATCTGGCGAATAGGTCGGTTGTTACAAGACGTCGAAATTTAGTGCATATTAAACTAACTGAAAATTATTGTCCTATATAAAGGATTTTATTCAAATAGAAATGGGAATAATAGTGAGGAAATTATTTATTTTAAAATTTCTTAATTTTTGTCATTTTTGTCATTTTTGTCATGCCTGTGCTGACCTGACCAGGTGTGTTGAGATATTTCGAATATCGCCCAATACTTATCATCGAAACATTGTTGTTGTGGTTTAATTCTTCTCATACGATATAAAATCGAACCAAATATTTTTTAAGACTATTCATTCATGTCTAATACATCAACCGCTGGTAACGTAGATGCTGTTTGTTATTGTTTTGTCTTTATGTTTAAAGAACCGTTTGTCCACGAAGAGCGATGAAAACAATGTCATAAAAGGCAGTAAAAGGCAGTTGTATTGTAGTATCTTAAATTGTATTGCGATGTATTGTATTGTAATATATTATATTATGTTGTGTTAAATTCCATTCAATTATATTTTACAATATTTTAATTCATTTTATGCAATATTAAATTTAAATAATTGTTTATTTTGTGTTTATAGAATCGTTGAACGATGTAATATCAAAGAACACAATTAGGGATGAATTAGAAAATTAAATATATTGTATTTTTTTCTAATATTAACGGAAATTGAAAATGTCTGACGACAAGGCTTACAAAGATGGTGATGTAGTATGGGTAAAGTTAGGCAATAATTGGTGGCCTGCGGAGGTAACAGATACACATCGGCAGCCTGAAGGATTAACTAAGCATTTGAAACGAAAACCATACTGCATTGTGAAGTTTTTTCAAGAGGATTCATAGTAAATATAAATATTAAATGCTTGTTATTTTTTTTTTTAATATTGTCAATTTTAGTGAATTTGTAAAAAGTAGCAAACAGATTTTTCCCTTTCAGTGCAATAAAAAAGATGAATTTATAAAGAAAGGCTATGGTAATAAAAGTAAATTCAATTAAACGAAACGATAAATTTTAACAGTTACGTTTCAGCACTTCACGAAGCAAAGAATAAATTTATGGAAAAGTTTCCATCAGATGTGGAAATAGCGGAACGTAGAACGTCTACTTTAATTATTAATGATCGACCAGATAGCATTGTTAAGGCAATTTTAGGGCAAACATGTATAAGCAGAAATATTAGTTACAATGATCAACTGCAAATCGGCAATAATTGCAATGTTCGCAGAAGTGGGGTAAGACTATTCCTTTTATATTAATTTTTATGTTAAAATTTTGTGGTTTTAGGACTCAGTTACAAAAATAATTAATATAACATCTAATTTAAAAACGCCTATAACATCAACAACTGCGATTGCGACATTGGGAAATAGTAAATCACCTGATGTTATTGCAAAACCGCCAACGGTTATGCAATCTCATAACACGATCAATGATAACTCAAATATTTATCGATGTCATTTGTGTGATTTTACAAGCATCCGACAAAATGTAATAATATTTCACCGTAAAACACATAGCAGAGATAACGTGTATTCTCTCTCAGTACCTGTGGCTATGTCAAAAACACCACCAACGAATTTAAAATTACAAGCCGCAGTATCTAAAGCAAATACTCCATCAAGCTTTACATTTAAATCAGATTATAATAACATAGGAAATAAAAAGTTAACCACTAAATGTTTTGTACCACAATCAGACACTGACAACGATAATGGTTCAATATATATGCCACTATTAAATACTAAAAACAATCAGAGTCAATCAATTAATAGATCAACAGCAGCAGCAAGACTACCTAAGAAGAAGGAATTTGCTTGTTTAGCAACTTCAAAAAGACCGTTGAGATCTTCTCCTAATATTTCATCCAATGATTTATCGCTACAAGAAACAAGAAAAAATAAAACTGTGGATACTGAACTTGAAGTAATTGAACATAGTAATTCATATCAAACTCTTTCATCTGCTATAAATACTACAACGACTACTGTCTCAAAACATTCTCCGGAAGAAATACGAAAGCGCTTACTTGCTGATTGGAGTGATGAAGAAAAGGATGATGATGAAGTGAGCACATCTAAAAATTTACTTGTAAGAAGCATAACAAATGATGAGATTAAGAAAAATAAACTAGATGAAATACCGTTTAATATAAATGATATTGACGTTATATCTAAATCTAAAAATTCATCAACAATTACTGATACATCTAAGCCACAGATCTTAAATAGAATTCGAAATATTCCCAAAAAAGACCGCCGTGATATTGTTCTTAAAGAGTTTAATGAACCAACAATAAGTTATTCACCGCTCTCCACATCGACCACTCTTCCCATTGTTAACATCGATAGTGCAAGTAGCAACAGTTGTAGTTCTGATTCTGTAGTCGTTGTAGGTGTTCTATCAGATACGAATTCAGTAAAAACAATAAATGTGGAACAGACAAGTATACAAGGTGAAGGAACAAATATTAAAGAAACGAATATGTCCCCAGTGAAAACAACCATTGAAGGTAATACTGATCAAAAAAGTATAATTTTAAATAGTGAAAAAAGTGATGCTTTAGAATCAAAAGAAACCGCTTGCGATGGAAGTAATGCTGAAGATATTCCCTCAACAACTTTATCTTGTTTTGATTTTCAAGAAGAAGAAGAAGAAAACTACAATGATATGTTAACATCAATGACAAATTTCAAAAAAAAATATTTGTCACCTGATAAAATTCAAAGTTCCTGCATAGAAAACAAAAGTTCAAAAGCGGAAATCTTGACTAATTCCACTGAAGCCAAAGAAGAATTGGATCAGAAGGATGAGCTATTATCTGCAGAAATTGAATCTTTGCTTGCACAAACGATTACAACTGTTAGCGACGTAAGAATGCTTGAAGGGAACACTAACACTAAAGATAATGTATTTGTGAAGGGATTGCCAATAAAGGAACGAGGAAAAAGAATATTTAAATCACGTAACCGTTCTGGTTTGGATGAGGTATCATTTTCAACAAATATTTTAAATACAGAAATAAATGATAATAAATCCATTAATTCAAATGAATTATGTTTAACCGAGTTAGAAGAGAAAGCTACGGAAATTTCTCTAATATTTGAAAATCCAGAAGAAAAATTTGTTAAAATTAAACAATTAGAAATTGAAAGGGCTAAAAATGCAGATATTGAATTGTTTAAAAATAAATCTGAAAAATGCATAGTTAAAAACACAGAAATAATACAACTTGAACAAAAAAAAGCTATGGTTGAAGCAAGTTCTACTAACTCTGAAGATATAAAATTAATTGATAAAACATCGGATATAGGTTTTAAAAATGAAATCTTGGAACAAAATCTCGATGATACAGATTGTAAAATATCAGCAAATAGTGCAAATATCCAGACTACTGAATTTTCATCACTAACAGATGAGTATAGCTTAGCGAGTATTCCCGAAGCAAATATAGAGTTTGGATTACCTACAATCGTTGTCGGTGATAAAAGCTTTTCTCTTCATAAATATAATATTAAATCTGATGTGAATGTAAATATAGTAGATATGAACAAAACAGATCGACAGGAAGAATTAAAATATGAAAAATCTACACAAAACGATGACAAAATTATTGAAGCTTCTAGAATTTCTAATGTATTAAAAAAAATTAACAAATCATTCAATAACGATGTCAAAGCTGAAATTTTTAATGATGCTCTTCGAAAAAGTAAAACGAAAACACCCAAGTATGTTTCTGAAGGAAAAGAAAGTGAAATTTCTGGGGAAAAGTGGATAGGAGATGAAATGCCGCAAGATTTACTCGAAGATGAAGATGAGGATGACATTGAAAGTCCACCACATGAGGCTTTATCTGGCAATGAGCTCGAAGCTGAGTTAGTAAAGGTTAGAAAATCAAAAAATGCAAACACACATATAAAAACTTCTCCCATGAAAAATAAAAATAATAAAAACGATTATGATTTGGCAAAATCTTCTAATACAGAAACTAAAACTAAAAAGTTATTTACTACAGGCAGCAACGAATGTGAGATTGCACTTAACACTAAAACAATCAATGATTTAGAAGAGGAACGCGGTATTATAATTAAAAATGTGCTTCATGATATATCGACCCAAAATTCTCCTAGAGAATCGGAAAATAACAGTCCGTTGATAAAATGTAACGAAACTGATTTAAATGAATCAGAGCAATTAAAAAATGCAGTTTGCAGTCGCAATAAGAATGAATTTAGTTCAGATGAAAATTTTACAATAAAACGAATCAAATCGAAGCGACGACATCCTGTTGACGATACAAATTCGAAGCACATAGTTAATATAAATCGAAAAACAAGAAAGTTAAGTGAATTATCTTGTTCACAAGAATCGCTTGCAATGAACGAAGAACACAGTAGACATGACGGTAAAATTATAATTAAGGACAATAAAGAAGTAAACATTGCTTCAACAGATGAAATTCAATGTGTTAAGGATTTAAAAGAAGAATCAGTTCATAAACAAATTATGAGTACAGAAGATTTGGAGTCAAAAAGAAATATATTACTTTTCGAAAACTCCGTTGATAGTGAAAATTGCAAAATAAAGCCCTCAAGCTTAGCAAAAATTTCAAGCAGTTTGAAAAATCAGTTAGTAGATGAAGAAAAAGAACAAATAAACATTACACATAACTTACCTGTGATTTTGGAAGATATAACACTTCAAGAAGTTGAGCATTTCGAAAGTTCTCCCACAATAACATACTCCAATGCTTCTAAAAATGATCCATTTAAAATATCAAAAAATATTGAAAAAATCTATCATGATAGCGATCATAAAACTAATAGTGAAGAAAATGAACATAATCCACAAAATATTTGTGGAATATCTCCTTTAGAAAAAGTTCGTATAGATGTTGATGTATCAAATCCTTTATCCTCACAAATAGCTAACATATTATCATGTAATAATAATTCTAATCAGATCGCAGCAGACACAGCTAATAAAAACAACCTAAATCCAAAACTAATTATTTCTAAGAGAAAAAATTCGTTTGAAGATGAAATACCCTCATTCGTAATTGAACGCCCAGGAAATCAAGCATTGACAGAATCAATTGAAAAAGATGCAGTAAAACATGTACAAAACATGTGCCCACAATTAAAAATCACGCGAAAGGAAAAAATATTAATAGAACCTTTAGCTACTAGTTCATCTAAAAATTTAGATTCTACCATATTTGATATAAATAATATGCCAATTTTACTTAGTAATGAACAAATACTTCATTCAAGTGAAGTAGATGCATCTATAGTACTATCTTTGACAAGTGACAAAAGCTTCACACAATGTCAAAGCGCCACTATTAAGTCAGTTACTGAGACTTTGCCCGAAACACCTCGAATTATAAAACAACAAATTCTGCAACCGGCTCGGACACCATCGCCTTTTCTTGCACAACATAAAGCATCTGGAAATTCAAATCTGACAAATATTTCTGAAGAGTGCTCACATCAAAAGCAAATTCAAGAACAACAAGATATTTATCAACAGCAAAAGATGTCACAACAGCATTTAAATAGTAGATACCTTCTTATAAAAGCATCTACAGATTCGATACCAGCAGCAACAACAGCTAATATAATTCTTTCGTCACCACCACAAACCTCACAAGTAATAAAACCCAAATCACCTGCTGCAGCTGCGACCGGAGGTCGTAAGCAGGCCGGAAATACTATAAGCCTACCGAACAGTATATCAGCAAAACAGCAGCTTTTAAAGTTTAACGATGAATTAGACACAAATTTGGATTTAGAAACTCATGAAAATATGAAATTAAATAAGAATCATCAGTATTCATCAAATGCAAATAATAATAAACGTAGAACGCAACAATACATCCAAAGCCAAATAAATAGTCAAGAAGAGATTGCAGTTTCAACGGCTAAAATAGCAAAATCGTCCCGAAGTGATGGTATATGTGGAACCAATTTGACAGTAGCACAAAAACAATTAAGCCAATTGCAGCAACAGCTACAACAACGCCAGAAAACGCAAGAATCGTCAAAACAATTTCATCATTTACATAATCGTAAACCAAAAAAGCAACCACAGCAACATCGAAACTTACAGAAGAAATCTGAAACAATGGTTCTTCGCGAAAATGCAGAGCCACAATCCAGTGAATATAATCAACACAACTTAGGTACGTCTACTGAACATAATTCTCAACGTCATGTAACTGGTCAACAGTCCGTTCAACCAACTACACTTAATGAAGAACAGTTAAATCAAACACAGCAATCTGAAGATGTAAGTACAAACTTAGGGCTAGTTATTTATTTAGTGTAGGAAGAAATTGTGAGATTGATACATTTGTATATATTATTTAATGTTTAAATATATTTATAGCCTATTGATAGTACATCAAAAATATTAGCTGTACCTACTCAACCGATACCTGGTTATAATGAAACATTTTTACTTTGCACGTTAGTAAATAATAATTACAAACCAATTGATAATGTACCGCTCTATCTGGATCACGATTTGAATCAATTGGTACCAGTTCCAATAGACGCATTAGATAGAGAGCCAAGTCTAATTGTGAATCATCCACCACTTGAGGATCAGGTAACATTGATACAAGATGCTACGGAAGATCAACAGCAAATAGTTTCAACCAATACACTAAAAACTGCAGAAGCAGATTCTTCGACTCATTTGATTTGCTTAGATTCAGGAACTGATCTTGTAGGTAATTCAGTAGCGCGAGTATTGCAAACGCCATTAACAGATGAAGTTGTTGAAAGGGATATTGTAGCAACATCTCCAATGTCTGTTTTTTTACCAAACGATAATGCTTCGGAAGTAATTGCAGACAATGCAGTTATTCTAAATATAGAGGGCCAACAGATTATATTAGATGCTGCAACTTTTACACATTTATTAGCTAATCCTGATGCCAATACACAGCTCATTACTGATGATGGAACCGAATTTATTTTGACGAGAGAAGTGCTTGCTGCTCTGGAAGCACAGCAAGCGGAACAACAAATTCAGCAATTGCAAATAGCTGGACAACAAATTCCTTCAGCATCCAATACCACCGACATTCTTGCTGTTGCTCTGGCTGGTTCCGATTTATATAACAGCGAGGTGCTTGAAATAGAAACTTCTCAAAGGTTACAATTGATGGGTTCCGATGTATTCCAACCTTCTGTATTACCACAACCACATTTAACGCCGCCAATCACAGCACATACAAGTGAAACAAGTACACTGCTTAACCAAACACCAATAATGTCACCCTTAGAAAAACCGTCGACAAGTTTAAATAAAGCAAAGCATTTAGATTTCGTTGGACATATCGGAACTAATACTGGCGTACCCATTTCTTCCGAGTTGGTTGATTGTAGACCTAACTTGGAAGACAGTTTAGCAGTAATAGGAGTAACACCACAATCAGCAGTTCCATCTTCCCTTGAATTACCCATTACTGTTACTGATCCAAAGATTGCTTCTAAAGTGACCATGCAAACAACACCCGCGGACATTGTGCAATATCAAACTCATTGCGCTGACAATATATTAAACAACGATTCACGTTTATACAATGATTCAAATAGTTAATATTGTCCGAAAATCGTCTATTTTAATCAATTAGACGACGAAAATAGCGAGGGGACAAATGTAGAATTTAATGATGATCTTTTCTTCGGGTCTGATGCTTTGACTTAAACATGTCATTTCAATCATGCAACCCATGCATTATTTATATATTCTATATATTGTTATCTTATAATTATAATAGTATATTGATATGTTTTACAATCAGTTATGATTTTTATCCAATATACATATTATATATATGTATATATTATAAAATATTAGCTTTTCTTACGTAGTTTAGTTTCAGAAGATGATTCCTTAGTCCGAGAAACAAAAGAAATTGTAAGCGTAAATGGGGAATCCATTTTTAATATTTACCGGGACTTAAATTTCAAATATAACTATATTCAAAAAAAAAGGTGAATTGAAAAATCCTGTTTTAATATCTCAAAACAATTAAGTCAAACAACTTAAATCGTTTACTAATTTTTACTTCATTAAATATATTTGAACTACTTTACTGGATTCAATAATTATTTTGAATTAATTTTTTTGAAAAATTCTTCAATAATTCTATTTTTAAATTCAAAAATTTTTTTTTGTAACTTTTCGTGTATTAAAACCCTAATATATATTTAATCCTTTAACTCCTAGGAGGAGCATAGGCCTACTTTTTTCTATTATTATTTATTACGGTTTCGTTAGTCGGTTGATTTAAGATTAGCAGGTGATTGGCCTACCACATCCGATTCTGGTGTTAGGGCTGCCAACTGTTGCCTCCAGACCGACAAAACCCTAATATCTTGCTAATATTTACTGCTAAGGAATTTTTCTTCTATCGTTCACTATTGTTTTGTAATCAGCATTTGAAGTGACGTGGGTTTTTTCCCACTGGTTTTCTTCAACAATGTTACTCAAGGTCCTTAATGAGTATGAGTACTAATGAATATATGAGTCCATTTTTAACGGCGAGTAATGGAAGAAAAGTTTGTTAGCAATGTGTTTGCATATTCATAAGGATTAAATATGTAAAAAATAAACAAACAAATATTTGTAAAAAACACATTTTCACAATTAAAGAATATTTAATGGACTAGAAATTAGTATGTAACTTAAGTCATTCGAATGAACTCTTTTAGATATATTAAGGACTGTTTCGGAAGAGCCATTAGCACTCCTTATTACGGGTAATATTCAAAATACTCTCCTATCGCATACCGTTTTTTAGTTTTCCGGACTAAGGAATCACCTCTCGAAATCAATATACGTTAAAGTGAAATAGTTTCTATATGTAAAATTATATCATTTTATATCATGTGAGAGATAATGCTTTGATTGTATGAATTAAAACATATTTCGGGAGAAATCAATCTTTTTTCAATTTTACACAAATTTGTGCATTTTTTTCAAAGGAAAAATACGAATTTCTTTTACAAAAAGTTTCTGAAACAATAGTGCATTTTCATATGAAACGAAAAAAATTAATAAAAATTTTGAGATAAAGATGATTTTATGATAGTGTTTTTTTGACACCGTCTATGTCGATTAATACAAGTTTTTATTCATAGATCGTGAAATTTGAAAGTTAAAAAATCAATAAACAATTTTGAATATGAACGAAATTTCCAACACAAAACTTCTTTCAAAAATTATTGTTTGGACACTAAGTATTTTATTTATGAAAAATGAAGAAATATATATGTATATATATAATATATTATATATATTATATATAATATATATTATTAATATATTATATTATATATATATATATATATACTCGGATATAACTGACTTTCAATGAATTTTTTTTAAATCAAGAAAATATCTCGTAAAATTAATGCATATTAAAAGGAAAAATACTATGTTTATCAATAAAATTTATATAACATATAATCAAAATACCATGCAAACTATATATCACTACATATGTACAATATATAGAAAGATATATATAATCATTTAAATGTAAATAGTTTTATACATGTATTTATAAGCATACATTAAACATAATAAAGTTATTAAGGTTATATAAGTACATTGAAAATGTATATGTAAAAATTAGATAAATGAAATATAAATCTAGATTTCAGTAAAATTATCGTTAAACGAATAAGTTATAAATTATGTATATTGACTTAATTTATACAAAAAGGACATTTAATAAGTAAATATATAATTTATTTGTTCAGAGTATTTTATACCAAATACCTATATTCATTATATAAATGTTGATTTAAAGAGCAAATCATTCATTCATTATCATTTTTTTTATATTTGCAAATTATATATTATGAATACATATATAAGATTTTGTAATTTTGTGACGTGTCTTTATATCCTTAGAAATTGCAAGCCCAATTGAAATTATTAAAAGGGCTTATTAATAATTAACAATGATGCAAGATATCAAAATATGTAAATAATTATTTAGATAGTATAAGCTCCAGCAAATTGTAGCTGCTGGACCGGACGTATAAAACTGTACGGATTACAAATGAAAGAAATTGAAAAGGTATTTCTCAATCTTTCAATTGATTATTTATTCTCAAAATGTTGTTTATTCTCCAAGCTATCATTCGTTGTTTATTTTATATTGTGACATTTGAGTTGTTGTGACCAGTTGAGTGGCCAGCGACATTTTTTATATATATAAAACCTGAATATTTTCCGCTAAATTGTTCATTACAGAAATAAACAATTTTTTTTTTAATTACCATATCCTTATTGTAATAAAATAAAAATTATATGAAAGAGATTACGAAGCTTTTAAAACAAAAATGTATTAATACTCTTATATATAAATGTAAGAATGGTATTTACCAATCAAAGATTTCGCTTGATTAAAATACTTGCATACGTAGAGACAGAATTATTACTATTGACCAAATGATTAGCTTAAGGAGTGTATTAGATATACATTATTTTTATTGGAGAATTGTAATACACAGTTGTAATTAATTAGGAAATATGAATGAAGCACATATTACATAAATTCTATAATTTTATATATAAAATGTAATTAGTTATTCACCTTAACAATTTATAAATAAAGATTATTATTTTTTTTATAATTTAAGAAAATGTAAATTAGAAAATTTTGTTTAAAAAAAATTATGATAGTGAAATCGTGCTAAAATATAAATATATGTAAGCTATTATAGGTAAACATCTAATCTGATATAGAATATAGAAATATTGTATATTAAAACAAAATTTTAAATAAAATTTAAGTTAAAAAGTTTAATAGCTATTACTTAGGATAATGATAAAAAAAAATGAAACAATATTTTTTACATTAGTCTCTTGACCAGATTTTGTCATTAAAAACATTTCTCTTTAATTTCACAATTAATTCGGCTAAAAACTGATCTTTGGTGATCTAATATTAATAAGTTTTACCGCAATTCAAATGGATTTGCTTCGACATTTGAAGGTAAAAACAGAGTAACAACTTCAGTTGGCATAGATTTCTATTGCTTAGCATTTTGTTGTCGGCAACTAGATACATATGGATCAGATGTAACTAAAAATCTAAAAAATATAATATAATAAAATAAAATTGATTTAATTTAATTTTAATTTATCTTAAAAAAAAATTTTTGGATTCAAAATCGCTTCATTAATGTGGTAAAAGCAGTGTTAAAGCTTAATATAGCTGTTGTGCCGACAATTATGTTCATCACTGTGTACATCTGGTATTAGTTTCATAATAGTTGAGGTTTGAAGCTAACTATTATAATTAAGTCAATGTAGCAGTTGACTTATACATTTAGATCAGTGACGACGCGTGCCCTATCTGGAAGGGTGTGCGGCCCTTCTACAATGTTGTTTTACACGTACCGCTTAAATTAAAAATGATAAATTGAAATATATGAGATGTTTTATTAAGAAAGATTATATTACATTAGGCAATAATATATTCACAATATATTTATAATTTCATTAACAAACCTTTCCGGATTTATTGAAGGTATTTTTATACACCTGAGCACAGTGTTGTATGAGGTTGGAGGATGTATAACATTTCCAAGGAAAAGCGAATACAGCAAACCTCCATAGACTATATGGATTACCTAAAATCCACATAGAAAATATGCCATGTAGACCTATTTGCTCATCTATAAATTTACCTTCATACAAACTGTGTTAATTTATGATAACCATTCTTAAAAATATAACAAAAAAAAATCAAACTATAAAATTAAAGACGCACTTGAATAAAATCAACAATACCTATATTTATGATGATGAGAAAATGATATCCTTCGATTTCGTATCTCTATTTCCCAGCATACCCCTAGATTTAGCGTTGAAACTTTTAGACTCTAAATAGAACGAAATAAGACAATTTTATATATATATATATATATATCAATATATACCATATATATCAATATATACCATATATATCAATATATACCATATATATCAATATATACCATATATATCAATATATACCATTAAATCATATATACCATATATATCAATATATACCATATATATCAATATATACCATATATATCAATATATACCATATATATCAATATATACCATATATATCAATATATAACATATATATCAATATATACCATATATATCAATATATACCATATATATCAATATATACCATATATATCAATATATACCATATATATCAATATATA